TGGGATACAAGGAACATACCTCAACATCATAAAGGCCATCTATGACAAGCCAACAGCCAGTATCATTCTCAATGGTGAAAAGCTGAAAGCAATTCCATTAAGATCTGGAACAAGACAAGGATGTCCACTCTCACCACTGCTTTTCAATATAATACTGGAAGTCCTAGCCAGAGCAATAAGACAAGAGAAAGACATCCAAGGAATCCAAATAGGAAAAGAAGAAGTCAAACTATCACTATTTGCAGATGATATGATAATATACATAGAGAACCCCAAAATCTCCACAGAAAAACTAATTCAACTCATCAATCAATTCAGTAAAGTGGCAGGATACAAAATCAACACGCAAAAGTCAGTAGCCTTCCTATACAGAAACAATAAATCTGAAGAAGAAGAAATCAAAAAAACCACCCCTTTTATTATCGAAACAAAAAAAATCAAATATTTGGGAATAAATCTAACAAAAGAGGTAAAGGACCTATACAAAGAAAACTATAAAACACTGTTAAAAGAAATAGAAGAAGATACAAAGAAATGGAAAGACATCCTCTGCTCATGGATTGGAAGAATAAACATTATTAAAATGGCCATCCTACCAAAAGCAATATACAGATTCAATGCTATTCCAATCAAAATCTCAATGGCATTCTTCAAAGAAATAGAACAATTATTGATGAAATTCATATGGAATCACCAAAAACCCGAATAGCCAAAGCTCTACTGAAAAAAAAAGAAGGAAATGGAGGCATCACACTCCCAGACTTCAAACTATACTACAAAGCCATAATCATCAAAACTGCATGGTATTGGAACAAGAACAGACATACAGACCAATGGAATCGAATAGAAAATCCAGAAATAAACCCACAGATTTATGGTCAACTAATCTTTGACAAAGGAGCGAAGACTATGCATTGGAGCAAAGAAAGTTTGTTCAATAAATGGTGCTGGGAAAACTGGGTCGCTACATGCAAAAGAATGAAGCTTGACCACTACCTCACACCATACACAAAAATCAACTCGAAATGGATTAAAGAACTAGACATAAGACCTGAAACCATAAAATACATAGAAGGAAATATAGGCGAAACACTACGGGATTTGCACATCAAAGACATCTTTACAGACACATCACCCAAAGCAGTGATAGTGAAGAGAAAGATAAACAGCTGGGACTACATCAAATTAAAGAGCTTCTGCACAGCAAAAGAGACAATAACAAAAACAAAGAGAAACCCCACCAACTGGGAGAACATTTTTGCACCCAACACTAATGATAAAGGACTGATCACAAAAATCTGCAAAGAGCTGATGAGACTCAGCAACAACAAAGAAAATAATCCAGTCAAAAAATGGGCAGAAGAGCTAAAAAAAAAACTTCTCTGAAGAGGAAATGCAAATGGCCAACAGACATGAAAAAATGTTCAACATCACTTGTAATCAGGGAAATGCAAATCAAAACTACCATGAGATACCATCTCACACCAGTGAGAATGGCACATATTAAAAAAACTAGCAACAACAAATGTTGGCGAAGATGTGGAGAAAAAGGAACTCTCCTGCACTGCTGGTGGGAGTGCAAACTGGTCCAACCACTATGGAGAGCTGTGTGGAGATTTCTGGACCTACTAAACATAGAGCTTCCATATGATCCAGCAATTCCACTCCTAGGTATTTACCCAAAGGACACAGAAACATCAATTCCAAAGAGCACCTGCACTCCTATGTTTATAGCAGCACTGTTTACAATAGCTAAGCTTTGGAAACAACCCAAATGCCCAAAAATAGATGACTGGATCAAGAAGATGTGGTACATATATACCATGGAATATTACTCAGCATTCAAAAAAGATAAACACATGCAATTTGCAGCAACATGGATGGCACTGGAAGGGATCATGCTCAGCGAAATAAGCCAAAAAGAAAAAGAAAAATACCGGATGGTCTCACTCATAGCAGGAATCTAGAAAACTTAAATAAGGGACCAGGAAAATGAATATAAGAAAGTGAAAATCAAAATCAACAAAAAACTATGAACCAGAGACACTTTTTGGGGGGTGGGGGGCGGGAGGGGAAGGATTGGGGTCAGAATGGGGCGTTTGCAATTGTATGGGGGAATATAAAAATAAAATTTAATATTTAAAAAAAAAAAAAAAAAAAAAGAATGCAATAAAGAACTTTGTTAAAGTCTGAGGAGAACAGCTATATAAAGGTCTAGAAAACTTTATGCACAAATTAGAACAAGCTGTCAGAAGGTTCTGACAAAAATGTCTTCAAGATGCAAAAGAATGATCTGTTACAGATAATACAGCTAAACCTAATGGCAAAGACAAACAATTCATCAGTAATTGCTGACCTGTGGCCCTCCCCTCATTCTCGCCCCCTCTCTGTCAGGGGACCTCTTATTGGCCTTTGAGCAGCAGAGGCTGCAGACAGAAGATCCACTTCTCCTTCACATCATCTTCACTTCAGATCAAGCTGCATTGCTAGGATTCTGCATTTCATAAATGCCAGTGCTAGGTTTATATTTCTAGAGGCAACCTTGAGTGAAAGCACAGATTTCGTTATAGCCACAGAACAGAAGGTAGATGCCATAAGCCTTGTAAAAGTAAAAGGAAGAGAGGGAGGCTGAACACAGGACTCCCGGAAGCACTGGTTCTCACTGTACATGAAAAGCTGTGAGACCACTGCTTACACTGATGGCTGAAGAAAGAGTCCCACAGATTAATACTTAAAACCATAAAAGGAACCAAGAGAAAAACTAAAAATACAACTTTTGGTATTGTGGGGTAGATATTCATTCATGTGGGACAAATTCCTCATTTTTAGTATTACCGAATTAATAGATACTAAACAGATGAATAGTCCAGAAGTAAGTATACCACCTATGAGGCAGCTACCAAAAAACCCTTTTCAAAAATAAGTAGAAGGGACAGGAAAGAGTAGGGGGAGGGAATCAATATGGAAATGTCACTGCTACTGGGAAGCAGGACTTGGATCCAGGCACAAGAATAGTTTAATACACTGTATTGTACTATATTCTTCAGAAAGAAGAAGTTAAAAGTTCTCTTCATAAGAAAAAAGAATTTTGTAACTATGTACTATGTATTGGTGGCATGATGACAAATGTAAACTAGATTTATTGCAGTGATCATTTTGCAATACATACAAATATCAAATAGTTACATTGTATACCTGAAACTAACAAAATATATACATCAAGTCAATTATACCTTGATTAAAAAAAAAACTTCAAGAACATTTTTGAAATACAAAAAATAGGCCATCTTGTGTGAATGTCTGTGTGTGTGGGTGTGTGTATATGTGTAAAGATACACAAAATAGTAATTGCCAAGTCTTTTATATAAACATGCATCTTATACCCCTTCTGTAGTAAACAACAGCTCTCTCTGACTGGTTCAAATTTCCAAACCAACCCCTCTTGATTTATCTATCTAAATCAGTGCTTTAGTAACTTCCTTTTTGAAATATCTTAATAAAATGAAAACCCTTTGCCCTGTCTAAAAAGGTAGGGTCCAGCATGATTTTGCCCATTTCTAAATGGTTATCTTTCTAAACTTATCTCTCACTGATATGCTTTGCAAACCCGACTAGGCTATTCTCCTCCCTGTTCCTCAAACAATTTATATTTTCTGCCACCACACCCTTGCTCAGGACTTTCCCTCAATCGAAAATGCCCTTCACCCAAACTCTATTAATCAGAATACCAATCATTCTTTAAGAACTGGTTCAACTTCTACCTGCTCCATGAGGTCATCCCCAGCCCAGGTGAGAGCAATCACCCCTCCCTCCAGTTACTTCAAGACACGCTCCTCCCTAGTCATGAAGAAGCTTCTAAAGGGCAAAAACTACCTCTACTACTTCTTTGCAGTCTCAAAGTGTCAAGCACAAGTGATTAGCACAGAATACATATTCATTAAATCCATTTTCTCAATAAGTGTTTGCCTGCCTTCCTACCTGTAGAATACCACCACACTAAAAACAAATGATACCAATCATTTTTGCCTCAGCAAGTAAGATTTAAATTATCATTCTGGGGTCTCCCTGGTGGTGCAAGGGGTTAAGATGCAACCTATGAGCTATCCACAGCCACTGCACCACCAGTTCCCGATCCCCGGCCAGGGAGCAACCCACATGGTGCAGCAGATCTCTCCTGACTTGCCTGCTGCTCCCCTCAGCAGTGTATTTCCATCGATCTGCCTGTTTTGTTCCCCGCTCTGTCTCTGGTGAATCCTCTCATCCCCCACACCTCTGGCCTATAGCCCAGTTCTTGTATGCATAAATAAATCTTTAAAAAAATATAGAGGGGCCTGGTGGCACAGCAGTTGAGTGCTGGGCTGCAAGCGCCGGTTCGTTCCTCCGCCACCGGCAAGGGTCCCACAAAAAAATAAAAATAAAAAAATATAGAGTGTGTAGGTCTGGGTGTCCTGAGATAGTCAGCCCACTAACATGATGATGATGATAGAGATAATAGCAGTAAATATTTTTATACCACTTTTTACCTACCAAGAGGTTCTAAGAACTTTACACATGTCGATTTACTTAATTTTCAAAAGAATTCTGAGACCAGTATACTACAAGTTTATGGTTGAGAAACCAAGGCACAAACTGATGAGCTAACTTACTCATGATCACACATGTCATAAGTTACAAGGCCAGAATTCAAACTAGGAAAGGAAAATCTAGTCGAGAGCCCAGGCTCCTAACGTCTCTTTCCTACCTAACTCCCAAGATAAGCTAATATTTCCTTTATCTATTATTTTTTTCTCTGCCTGTATTGCTGTTTTCCTAATGTATCCACATTAGTCATCAAAACAATCTTCTTAAGATGAGGAATTCAGGAATATAAGATGCGACTTTTGTAAGCAGTTCCAGGTAATTTCAGTCCTTGGTCTGAAGAATTCTCAGCTTCCAAAATTTGAAATTTTAGTGGCCGTTCATATCTGTTACAGAAAGGGGGAGGACAGGAAAACACTTACTAGTATCTGGAGTTTTCTCTTCAGGTCTGCCAAACAAAAATTCATATTTGGCCTTGGCAACACTCTGGGAATGTGCTGATGCATTATTAACCCAAACAAATGTTTCTGCCTGCAAAATTAAGAGAAACAAAAATTGTTAAAAATACATTTTTAAAAAATCATAAAGCAATCAGCTACCAAGAGAACAGTGCAATTATGACATATCTACTTGACAGAATGCTATAAAATCATTAAAAATGAAAGACAAAGATCAAAATACAGGTTAATCACTGCAAGTTTATGACTATATTAAAGAGGTAAGCATGAAACCTATAGGGAAATAATGAAAAACAAAAAATTCAATGAAGGTTGTTACTTTTCTGCATTTAGTAAATAAAACTTTAATTTTGAATACTTTCCAAGTGATTATCACTACCCCACAGCCCATCTGAAAAATATTCTGTGAGTGGGTTCTACTACAATACACCAAGAAAAGTAGTCTTTCCACAAAAGAGATCACATTTTTATATAATCAAGAGCCTCACTCTGACAGGGTATAGACTAAAAGTTCCAGGAGTATCGTTTATACTAATTGTCCTAAATTTGAGCATTCACTTAGTGAGCTCTGGAATTTCTAAAAGTCTCTAATTTGAATGAAAAACTACAAAGATGATGGAAAGTGGTACATATTATGACTGTGAATTCCTCTGACATTTCTATCTACTTTAAGCAATTACCAAAAATCAGTAATGCCTCCTTCTCTGGCCTAGGAATTGGAACAATTAAAAATAAGTAACAAGGTAACAATATCAAAACACAATGATGTTTGTCCCTAGTCTAATCAGGGAATTGGGGAATCTTTACTCTAAACTCAAAAATTAACGAGGATCCCAACAGCACCCACACTGGTGTCCACCCTCAGAATGTGAGACACCTTTTCTCATGTATGAGCAGCCACTGACCACCTTGGAGGAGAGAGCATGAAGGGTTTAACAGCAACCAGGCCACTACTTCAAAGAGGGAAATTTTATGACTTCTACTGTATGCTTTGGAGCAGCAATGATTGACTGTAACCCATGATTGAGTTTTAATTCCATCATCCCACTATGGACCAGTTCGGTGGGGAGGACACTTTGTTCTTCAATACCAATATTGAAAAGCTAGCCTGCATAATTTTGAGACAGAAACTTCTTAAAAGAGCTCTGCAATCACTTAATGTTCATAATGTGTAAAATTTATCTTTTTGGAAAAGGCACACACTCCTCTTGAAGTTATGTGCTTGATAATTACAAGTTATTAATTATCCTTTTCCCCACAGAGAGGAAATATTAATTTGATGTGTTCAGGGAGCATCAGGATGGTAAAGAGGACCTGGGTCCCTATTTAGACAGGATGGTTAGGAGAGGCTTTCTGAAGAATGAACACGTGCAAAGATGAGAGGGACAAGAAGCTAGGGAAGGACAGAAGCAGCCATCTAAGCAGAAGGAGGCCATCCACAGGGCCCTCCTCTATGAAAGGACTAGGCTACTCAAATAACTGAGAGGAGGCCAATGTGACCAGAGAAAAGTGGCTGACTGGGCAAGTTTAGAGACTAGCCAGGAGAACCACAGCAGGAGGTTAACACTAGAGAGGAAGCAAAGTTCAAACACCCAGGGGTGTAAGTGAAAGAAAGGAAAAGGGTTTTAAATGGCACAGTGGTTCATTAACCACTTTTTAAAATATCATGTGGCTGCTATAGTGAAAGTGGACTGGAGTGAGTTGAGAAAAAGCAACCACACCCGTTAGGAGTCCAAGTGTGAGAGCATGGAAACTTAGAGTAAGATGATGGCAATAGAAACCGGCTAAAGTAGATGGATTTGAAATGTATTTTGTAGGGTGGATCTACAACATTCCGATAAACTGATGTAAGAAACAAGGAAAAAGAGAAATCAAGGATAATTACAATGGGCAACATTTATGAACTGTTTACTCCAGGCCAGGCACTATTCTTTTTTTTTTTTTTAATTTATTTATACAAGCACTGGGCACAGTCAGAAGTGCGGGAGGGTGAGAGAATTCACTAAAGCCAGAGTGGGAAACAGAACAGACAGACCGATGAAATACACTGCTGAGGGGAGCAGCGGGTGGCAGGAGAGGTCTGCGTGCCATGTGGGACCCTCACCTGGGGGATGGGGATCGAACTGGTGCTGCAGAGGCTGCGGGCAGCCTCGCAACCCAGCGCTCAACCGCTGCGCCACGGGGGAGGCCCAGGCCAGGCACTATTCTTATGTAATACGTGACTATCTCATGTAATGCTCAGAATAATCTATGGGGCGAGCACACTATCACCCCAGTCTCACACGTAAATAAAAGGAGGCAAAAAGCCATAGAAGTAATCTGTCCAACATTGTACAGCTGGTAAGTTATTAATGCCAGGATCAAATCTGAATACAGAACCCATGACCCAAAGGATAACTCCCAGGGATCCTCATTTAAGCCAGTTGTGTGCATGTATTGAGATGGGGGCATGGGAAAGGGAACATTATTAATAGCTTAGGTCTTGGTTTGCAGGTGACCTTCCAAGGTCTCAGTGAAACAACAGGAAGAAAATTTTAAAGAAGACATTCATTACTATGGTGCTAGGAAAGAGAAGGAAAAAAAAAAAAGATGACATCAATGAAGGAACAGTTTGTTTTCCTTTTCTTTTTTTTAAAGATTTATCTATTTATGCATGCATATAAGAGCTGGGGTACAGGACAGAGATGAGGGGAGGTGAGAGGATTCACCAGAGACACAGTGGGGAACAAAACAGGCAGACTGATGAAATACACTGCCTAGGGGAGCAGCGGGTAAGACAGGAGAGGTTTGCGTCGCCATGTGGGTTTGTCTCTGGCTGGCCGGGGATCAAACTCATGCTGCAGAGGTTGCGGACTGCTTCATAGTGCGGTACTTAACCCCTTGCACCACCAGGGAGGCCCAATGAAGGAACAGCTTTTAAGAAACTACATGAAGATCACTTTTTGGCATAAAAGTCTCAATTTAGTTTAAGAACAGTTCCCTAACAAAAGGTTCCTTCTGAATAGGGTTCTTAACCTTGGTTCCATAGGGGCTCATCAATAAAATTCTGGAAGACTGAAGTCAGATGGTGGGGGTCATATTTTAATTTTCACTTATCTTAGGCTAAAATTTAGCACTGTTTTCAAATATCAATGTACACAATAAACAACTGTTTCATTAGCAAAACTGTATTTTTGTCATCAATAGAAATTATAGCCATTTTCACATCAAGTAATAGTTAATGGAGATATTGTGAAACATGATTTATTCTTATCCCTACTTTGAAAGACACTAAATCTTATCATCAGGAAGAAAACACAAATATTAACCATTTCACAAATTGGTTGATTATTTTGGTAGCCAATATAATTGTTTTCTTTTGCAAATCTAAGTATATTATGATACACACTTCAAAAGCATTATTCTGACAAGAGACTCAGAGCTTTCCCAGACTGTCAAAAGAAGACTGACAGACCCTGCTCAGGAGCGTGTGTCCTCAAATTACAGCTCATGGGCCATTAGTAGCTCTTGTGTAGTGGTGATGATCAGACTTCTATGTATGTAAGTATATACACACACGTATACATGTAGCAGAATAAAACAAAACTACCAGAATTGCGAGCACAGAGTAAAAAAAGTGTTGTTTTATAAAACTTCTAAGGCACATAAAATATATTTCTCACCATGGGTCATGATCAAACTGTTTGAAACACGTGGCTCTAGAGTAGTTCTCAAACTTTTGCATGAATTAGCATCACATATAGAGTTTATTGAAACAAGTATTGCTGGGGTTCACCAAGAGTTTCCTATGCAGCAGGTTTGGGATGTCTGTAGTAAGAATTTGCATTTTCTAGCAATTTTCCAACTGATACTAAAGCTCCTGTTTTGTGAGCCACTGCTCTAGATTAATGTTTTTCTACTTTACTCGATATATGAATCACTTGGGAATCTTGTTAAAATATACTTGACTAGGTATGGGATGGGACCTAATACTCTACATTCCTCAAGTAAGTTCTCAGATGATGGTGATGCTGGTCTATTAGCTCCCTTTAGCTAAGGTCTGAAAGACAGGCCATGTTCAAAGTATATTCAGACACTCCTAGAAAACAACCATTTTTTAAAGGGATGGTCTACCCAGGAGTAAAACCCACTAAAAGACTCCATAATAATAAAACATTCCATCTGTGACAGATGTGGGGACCCTAAGGCCCACTATTCAGGCCAAATCAAAGCATTAACATTCCCTAATGTGTCTAGTGAAATAAAATCCATTCTGCTTACATTAGTTATTCTATTTTTTAAGATTTATTATTTATTTTATACAAGAACTGGGGTACAGGCCAGATGCGCAGGAGGGTGAGAGGATTCACCAGAGACAGAGTGGGGAACAGAACAGGCGGACTGACGAAATACACTGCTAAGGGGAGCAGTGGGCACGACACGAAAGGTCTGCCGCACCTTGTGGGACCCTCGCCGGTCGGCGGGGATCGAACACACATTGCAGAGGCTGTGGACAGCTTCACAGCGCGGCGCTCAACCACCTGCGCCACCAGGGGGGGCCCTACATTAGTTAATCTTAAACCTTTGAGCCTCACTGATACATCCTCTTACCATGCCAATGGTAATAAATCTTCACCTATCTGAACAACAGTTTTTGCCACTCTCAGAAAAGTTGTATTTGAAAACAACTGGCTTGATGGAAGACCCATTTAATTTAGCACTACTTTTTCCTTCTGTATCACTAATTGAATAAAATATTTTCTTTTCTTTTATCTCAGTCATTTTAGAAACATAAATCTTATTAAGAAGTATGGCCTTGAAGTAACAGTAGCAAGTGGACCATCAGTTGATTCACATTTAAAACCCAAGTGATACTTACAAGTAGTCTTTAGACTTCAGCTTCCTTATCAATAAAGAGTACTATTCAAATTTCTCTCTTATAATATCTTTTAATTCTGAAGTGCAGTGATTCTTCACACTTAGGAACCACCTTCACAGATATTTCATTAAAGAGAATAACATAAATCTTTTCCTTGTAATAAAATTACAATGACATGATGACCAAAAAATGCATGCCTTGCATAACAGTCTTTA